AGACGGACCTAGGATATGATGAGAACAGTTGAAGCAACGAAAGCGTAGAACCGACCTGTCCATGGACCGGTAGTTGATTCGGTAGCATAAACTTGTTTTGTTTGTCTTGGGGTGAACGAACTCGTCGATCTACGTGGCCGTTAACAACTGGCGATCTCGTACAAGAAGAAGCGTACCTTTTTGACATCTTCGACCAAATCTCCAGCAGTGTCACGAACCAAATCGCAAAAGTCGTTCTCATGCAACTTGGATTCGCTCGGCAGCCAGAAGCTGACGTCCTTGTAGCACGCCGGGTACTTGGAATAAGGCTTGAAAACCGTAATTTTGCCTTGCTCGAATTGGGAGAGGAATCGTTGGTCTGTGGACCAGAACAATCGAATGTCCGGTATCGAGAACAGCACCATAGCTATCCTCTCCAACCCGAGACCAAAGGCCCAACCAATCTTGTTCTGCACGGCTGCGAGAAGTAGTTAAAGTCGCGAAGCATTGGCCATATAAGGGAAAGACGAACCAGCCGTGTCCAAAGTCGCGTTCACCACCACCCCACAGCCCAGGATTTCGAGCCATTTACCTTGGTAGAACACTTCGACTTCAAAGCTCGGGCTAGTAAAGGGAAAGTAGGCCTCAATCCAGCGAACCCTTAACGGCACATCCGAAGCACCACCGAAGAGCTTCAGGATCATTCCGTTAAGAGATAGCTTGAGATTGGCCGCTACGAGCTGTACGAACTCGGGGTCATGCAAAGACTGGACTGGGTTCGTAGGTGAGATGTGGGGGATGTCTTCTATGATAATGTTGGACCGTGCCAGCTGGGACGCCAGGCGTTCGTTGTCCTCCCGAACCTCCTGCATCCCAGTGGGCGTTGCGTCGAATATACGTGCCCCCTCTACCTGATGGAAGACGGGGTAATGTGAGGCGTCGATTTCGTCCCGTCGGTAGACGTCGGCAGTCAAGAGCCACTTGTCTTCACCTTTCCTGAACATTTCCACTTCGTGGGCCGAGGTGTGGGTTCGGAGCATGAGGTCTTTATTGATGTAGTAGCTGTCTGCTACGGATCGTCCAGGGTGGTCCGGCGGAAATGACAGCTCATCGAAGTTTTTGAAAGGTGTGACGACGGGAGAGAAGGAAGAGACATGAGAGAAGCCAGAAAAGTGGGTTTCTATCAGCGTCCGGAGGGTGTTAAGTGGATGCCCTGTCTTGGTATGCAGGCGCAGCGGAATTTTGGAAATTATCGAGGATGTAATGTTTGTCCACTCGTCGACAGGGTGCTGCTTGTCAAGAATGGTAGTAGACCGCAACGACGACGAGTAACGACATTGCAAAAGGATATTCGAGGTAGAGGTCCGTATGAATCGAACCAGCATGGCTGCGGGTAACAAGTCCAACTTGCAACCGTGGACAACGCGCTCTTGACGCGCTCCTCGAGCTGACATAAGTCCAGGGCAAATCAATTGTCATTATCGAATCGTGAGCAAAAAGTAAACTACTACAGTCTCTGACTACAGGTGGGCATGTATATACGGTGAGTGGTCGTGATGCATTCTAACCGAAGCATGAGTATCATAATTCAAACGAAAATGGGGCGCAGTCCGTGTCTGGGTTAAAGTACAAAATGTTTTGAAGGGCACCACTACCAACCGCCAGCGAAGCGGGCAGGAGCACGCAGTCCGGGTCCACGGGGAATGGGTTTTGCAAGTCTTGGGGGCGGTTCTTCGCGGACGATTTCGACGACGGTGGTGCGGGGACTAAATTCGGTGGAAGTGTGAGACGCTGCTTCGGGGGTGGGGAATGCAGCAAGACGAGTGTTGGCAGGAGGCGGTCCGGAAACGGTTTCAACTACGACCGGTTCTTCGTATTCATAGATCTGTGGTGGAAGTTGGTGATACTACAAGAAGGAAAAACGATGGTCAGCACAGTGTTTAAACAGGCGTGAATAGGAAGAGGCTGTTGATGGTTCCGTGAGGTTCACCATCACGTGTGCGGGCTCAACGCGTCGCGTTGAGATCCCGAATCGATCGAGACGCGATCGAGCACGGCCATAATCAACAACCTCATGGGTTCAGGGGGAACGTCCCCAAACCCGGACGAAGGAGAGAAAACGAGGTGAAGTGTCGTACAGGCTAGATTGGACAGGAGCCGTCGCATTTCTCCTTCGTCTCAAAGTTCAGAACGGCGCGGAGTAGGTGGCGGTACCTTGGCTTTGACATTTCGTTTAATGGGTGGGGCCTCGTACACGTATTCCTCTTCAACACTTTGGGGTACATCGTTGCCCAGGGCACTAAGGGGTACTCAGAAAAAGTAGCATGCGGACAGCAGTCATGTACTTACAGGAGTTGTTCCATAATCCAATTCTCTCGGCGGGAAGCATCGTGCTCACGACGGTTGGCTTGCTCTTCGCGCTTGCTGATTTCACGTTCACGTTCAGCGATTCTGAGTTCCCGTTCGATGATGTCTTCGATGCGAGGTGTGGTCCAGCCTGGGGGTGTGAGAGAGTCTTCCTTGACGATCTCCTTGATGACAGTTTGAACAGGGCCAAGGACAGTTTCGATAGTTGTAGCTGCGATGCAAGGGGCGCAAGCGGCAGTGGGATTGCCAATAACACCACCAGGGGCGCCAACGAGAATCTCGGCCTCCCGTCTGGCAACCTCGGCCTCCCGAACGGCGACCGCGCCCTCTCGTGCGATAAGCGCTTGAGAGCGCTTGGGGGTGAGCGATGCAAAGATGCCACCGGACTGTGGTTCAGCTCCACTGCCACTGCTTGAGCTGCCGGAGGGAAGAGAAAGCATGACGGCTAGCACTGCGAGCACGAGCGAGAGGACAAGGAGGAGAGTAGTTGACGATATGGTTCGATTGTGGTGATGAGAAGAGGACGAGCGCTCCCGTTCGCGTTCACTGCGGTGGGGTCGTTCGCCATGGTGAGAAGAGGATTGTCCGGCCATCCTGACTGTAGACGTATCAAGTTGTTGAGTGGACAGTTTGGAGGCAGGGATTTAAAGAAAAAAAAAGATACCCACCGCTTATAGAAGAACTAGGCGACAAGGAGGTTGTTGTGGTAGCCCTGAGGATCGACGTTGTGGAGGGAATAGGTTGTGAAGACGTTGTAGAGGCTTTTAAATGTAGATTGGGATGGGTATGGTCGTAGATATAGCTGGGGGGTAACGCAAGAGGTCGTAAAGAAGATGAAGATGGGGGAAGAAAGCAATGCTGGCCAACATTCTTAAGGCACTTTTGCCCTTTTCATTGTCCAACCAACACGTGTTGTGCCACGTGCTATGTTTGGACGCGTACACGTGATCACGGCCATTGTCCAAAGCCACTGTAGTTGTGGACTTTTAACTTTGGGTACAACCGCATCCAGTCCGTGTTGTGTTTGTCTACCAGGGAGACCGACCTAGCCGATTCCCCTTGTACTACGCGAGCAAGCCGCAGGTCTGCTTAGAAATGGCTCTTCGTCGTCTGGCCCAGCAAAACTATGCCGCTGCCTCGACGTCAAGCACCCCCAGGTCCAACAAAACCTTTGAAATCGACCCCGACTCTCCGTTAATGCAGAAATCCAGGCCCTCGACGCCGTCAACTCCCAAGAGCAGAGTCTCTATCGGGGTTTACCGCTCTCCAGCATCGACCCCATCGTTGTCCGCCACGGTGCCCTTTGATTGGGAGGCAGCCCGGTCGCATGCGCATCCACCATTTTCAACGCCAGCACAGAAAAAGATTCGAAAAAGCATGGGGGTCGGCTCTTCAGACGGTGCGAGGCCGTCAAAACGTGTGGTTCGCAAGAAGGGTATCGTGCAAAAGTACGTCTTCTCCACCAGAGTCGCTGGTCGCCTATATACTGACAACTGCTCCCCAGAATTGCGGACATCCCTTCTTTGATCATGTTCCACATCTCGATGTTCCCTCAGAACATTCCAATGCCGACTCCACAGACTTCTTCGAGGATTGTTGCTGGCACGATGCATGCAATCATGTTTTTGTTACGTGTGGTTAATGCGCGTCCAGCGGCCAAGTTCGACGCCATCTACATCGAGGATGACTCGGACTCGTGGTGGGATTGGGTCAGTAGCGATCTTTTCAACGCACCTACTCTCTTTCTGATCTCAATTGCAGTCCACTCTGCTAAAGTTCTTGGCCATTGTCACAGCGTTTGCCAATGTTGCATATCTTTTCACCCGTACCCGAAAGTACCACTTCCACAGTCGCCAAGATCCCATCTCGTCTCCAAACGCCAAATTTGTATCAAAGGACTGGGATCAAGTAAAAACGCCTCCTCGTGCCCTTTGGAAGCGCATCCTCTCCTTCACGTGGTGGGGGTTCGTGAGCTTTTGGCGCTTCCTCCTGAATATGCAACCTCCGCTTCCCACAATGAAGAACGCCAGTCCTGCAACCAGGGTTCAAGAGTTGGAAGTATGGTCACCAGGCGAACTGAACCTGAGGATATTCAGCCTCTGGTCTCCCGTCCACGCTTTCCTGTGGTTGGCCACCACTTCGACGAACTGGATACCGATGCTCATCAGCATGGGGCTGTTAACCATTACAGTACGTTCTCTTCCTTGTTGGAAACAGATCCGCGGGCTAATTTTAATGTGATCTCAGCTCAACGTGTTGATTTTTACGTATGAGACCTTGATTCGTGACAAAGAAGTGATTGCTGCAGAAGTCATGCATGAGTACAACCAAGGGGTGCGTCCAACCTGGTACATCATCATATTTTTCAAACTGACTTTCCTTCACCAGTTCGTATATCCTCGAATCATGCCTGTTCGTCACGATGTTGGGGTCATGACACACGAATCCGAGATCGTTAGTGTTTGGGATTGAAAAACGCCAGTGACCGATAACTACTCTCGCACTCATCGCATCGTATACCCTACATATTCAATATAGATTCAATGCACATACCTACCACTCTGTTAATCCCGTTTAATCCAAAATTATTGTATTTCATCACAAAGGGTCAATGGCGCGATAAATATTCGATACCCAAAAATTATCGAAAAATATGCCCATATCGAGAATCGAACTCGAGACCCTTGCATAAACGTTATCCTCATAAGTACAATGCTCTACCAACTGAGCTATACGGGCCTGGGGCTGGATGCGCCAAGCACATGTAGGAGGCTCCCTCATGGGTCAGACTGACAAACTCGGACTGCGAGACCCTTCCAAGCATTTCCCGCCAGACAAACGAGCAAATCTTGTCCCAATCCTTCTGCCCTGCTCTGCAGAGTGGGTAATCCACAAAATTGCCTTGACCGAAGTTCTAGGAGAACCAACTTCTTCCACCAAGAATTTCTCTACTGCCAGGGAAGTCTCTTCGTCTAAAGCTGACGTGGGCTCTAAGCAGCGGGCTCAAATGTCAGATCGGTATCACAGGAACTCGCATGGCCATCATTGCGCACCATCCAGCAAGAGAACTTCTGCCGTGTTCAAGGCAAGGGCAATGGCCAAGAGCATCCGCTGGGCTTCTCCTCCGCTCAAATTGCTCCAGTCTCGCTCCCAAAGTTCAGGTTCGATGCTCCATTCGTTTGTTATTCCGATTGAACGGTACCGGACCATTTTCTCGTTGACAAGGTCGCCAGGATTGTGATCTTCTTTCAGACGCTGATTCTGGCTGCCGAGGGAAAGTACGGTCTTTAAGAAGGTAGAGGGGCTTCCTGGAAGGAGAGAAGGCCGCTGGGGCACATAGAGCACTTTGGTGCGGTAGAATGGCATGCCTAGGCCATGCCCTCAAGTCAATCAAATGTGGGCAGTTGAAGGAGGATTGGCCCACCAATGTCGCGGGCTGTACTGTGAGAGCCGTTAGTGAATAAGACAGGCTTCAGAATCAGCCAAGAATTACCTTCCACGAAATCTGACAGTTCCCTCATGCTGTATTAGATGGGAGATACACTTGAGCAGCGTTGTTTTTCCAGTTCCACTTCGTCCTTGTAGCACAATGATGTCACCTATACCTTCAAGTCAGTTTGCTCTCTTCAACGCAGTGGAAAGGTCAAACCATCGTTGATACTTAGATCCAGGTCACTGAACAGCTGTCCTGAATCAGTCGAGCACGAAAGGCCGGCTAGCTCTAATAACGGGGGATCCATGAGGGCAGAGAGTCAAGAAGCGGGGTTCCAATAAGGTTTCGACCATAACTCGTGTATGCTTGCAGGATCGGCTAAAAATGCCGTGTAGAAAATGTAAAATGCATTATTACCGTAACGTCTAGGAGCAAGTGAGTAGAGGGGCGTGATTACTGTAGGTAATTACAATAGCGATAGCAATAAATTATTGGATCTCAGGAACCATGCCCATCTCCTCCGGGGTCAGGGTCGACCCTTCAATCATCACACCGACGCCAACCTTGGCAGCGTTCTAAGGTATTGTTGTGAGTATACAAAGCAGCAGTAGAGGATGAGGTGGAGTGACATACCTTGAAGTGATCGATCTCTCCGGCAACCAAGAATGCAAACGCGGGGGTGAACCGCTGCTCCAACAGAGCTGACACCTTTCCAGTGGAGTCGAGTTGAGCCTTGAAAGATGCAAGCCGGAAGTCGTATTTGGCTCCGAGCGTGGCGACGGCGTCACGCCTGGCGGGGGTAGCGATGACTTGGAGTTCGGCCGCGACCTCAACCTTCTCGCTAAGCTTCTGCCAGTATGTCGATTGGAACACTCCGGAAGGCTGCAATTGCGCGGTGGCAATCCAGTTCTTGTCGTTGCTTGTATATTTCAACAAATAGGATGTGGATGTCTCCGATTCGTCCGGGGTTGGGCGTTGCAAGTAAGTCTCGACACCCAATGCGAGGTTCTTGGTGAAGGACTGGAGGTAGCTGCCGACGTAGATACCCGTCAAATCCAAAGGCCATGGATTGAGAGTCTTGGCGCTAATGGCAAAGTCGGTGCCGGTGTATTCGTGCTCGGCTTGAATCATGTTATGACCAACTTGTTGCGAAAGCTAAAGTAATGTCAGGACCGAGTGATATACGAAGGGGCGGAATGGACATACTTGGGCGTTGACTTTGGTTACACTGTTGGGTGTCCAGCCATGGTTGAAACGACCGTTGACGCTTCCTTCGTGGTCAACACCACCTTGCAAAAAGATCTTTTCTAGAACATTAGACTTGGAATGATACTGCTGTGCTTGAAATCCCCACTTTTTGAGTAGCGAAGATTGCTCCAAAGTTGTATGACGACGGCAACGTCTGTGAGCCGAGCGAGAACGAATGCGTCACTTGGAACAGCGGTGACATGGAGAAGGTTTTGGTCAAATCGGCGCGTGCGCCATCGAATATGAAGTTGGAAAGGTGGGTAGCTGGAAGAGATGATGAGTGTCAAGTTGGTGAGATATAAATGCAGACGTACCCTTTACTTCTTTCGAAATGTTTTCGACTGTTCCAGGGTGGGGTAGACCCAGGTCTCTCCGCCAGCTGGCAAAGCGGTCGTAGGCGCTGAAGAGAGGGGAAACAGGATTAAAGTAGGACCATGCTGCAGGAGTTGTCGTCCCTGTAGAAGCAGACGGTGCGGGCTTTTCGAAAGAGGCAGACGCCATTTGCCCTGTTGTCGCGGTCGAACGCGAACTTGAATACGTAGCGCTGCTTGGCGCAAAAAACTTGACAAATACGCCCAAATCATCTACACACGTGACGGGTAACATAATTATTCTATCATTTTCGCTTATTCGCAGAATACATTGCTTTTAACGCACTATACCGACTTGCATTACTCTCAGCGATTCCCAGAACTGTGTTAAATTCCTTGCTGGACTTTTCAAAGTCTTTACTTTGCGGTTCATGGCGCCAATGTTTGGACCAGAAGCCGGTGCAAAGCAATGTTATGTCACTAAATGATTTGATCGGTTTAAGAAGGCCGCAGTCATTCCGACTTTCCAACTGGACCCATTCAATTGGCAAGTAACTTGGCTTGCTTATGTTCCGGCCTGTGCATCGAAGAATCTTATCGTATACTAGAGTGGACCAATGGGTTTCTCCGGAGCGCCATTTTACTCCCGACGTTCTGCGGATTGACCGTTGTCCAAGCATCTGGTGCAGTGTAAACCATGGTGCACGAAGCCAAAAGCTGAAATGTACCAATGCGTCCCATCAAAATAGCTGTTGACGACAGAACATGGACACAGTACTCGTATCCGATATCGGGTTTTGCGTCAAGATGGGCGCTCAAGAAGTTTCTATCCAGAAGTTCCCATGCGGCTGGAACTCGCTCTATTTTCACCTTGTCCGGTCTTGAAGGTCAGAAATGGGAGGCAGCATCTGGAGAGGGATGGAAACAAGGATGCAGGTGGCGGGTTTCCCGGCTTGTGTTATGCAACCCTCGCATGGTGAATTCACTATAGAGGTGGCGCTTCTGTCAGTGTCAGTGCGCGGGAGACTGGAAATGTCGGTGGAGACCGCGAGAGACCGTCGCTTGCCGTTAGAATGGCGGTGGGTGCATCGAGGTCCGAGGGTTGTGTGCGCAGCTAGACGGAAGACATTGCCCAGGACATGATATGGTATCTGTGCTCGGTCACTATGCTGTCAATGGATACAGTGCACCGCCATGCCAAAATATACCCCAGGTTCTCAGGGTGATTTCAGCGAAATGGCGGACTTGGATGGGGATGGCGGGACTTTGCTGCTGGGTGAAATGGAGCACACGTAGAGTAAATATACAGAGCAGCCAGTGTATTAAAGCTGAATAGAAAAGAAAAAGAAAAAAAAAAGCAAGAGTATTGATGTTGATGGCGGCGATTTCACAGGTTGACAATCACGGCAAGCGGACAGAACCAACATTTTTAGAAGGCAAGGTGCACACGGTTCCTTGGCTTCCCCCTCCCATGACTGTCCTCCTCAGATCTGCTCAAAGGATTGGTCGTTTCCGTCTACGACCAGTCTCTCGGAGGGCAATATTGCTCTTTATTGCTTTGGTTGTGACTGCCTGTGGCGTATGTAACGTGGCTCTCGTTTAACCGTCCAGAATCGAATCATTTTTACAGGTCCTACATGTCCTCTTTACGCTATATCTCGAAAACGAACGATACGAATACTTGCTTTCAAATGCACCTATACCCAAGACTCCTACACCCCTATATCCATCACCACTAAGAGCGAACGCAACACTACTCATGCTATGTCGAAACGAAGAGCTGGACGGCGTTTTGTCAAGTGTTCGTCAAGTCGAGGAAAAATTCAACCAAAACTACGCATATCCTTGGACATTCTTGAACGACGTTCCGTTCGACGACAACTTCAAAACGTACGTTCCTCCAGTCCCCAAACCCGTCTTCGCCTGGTTGACACGTCGAGTTTAGTGGTGTCCTCAACCTTTTGGGCCCGGCCGCTGATGTGTCGTTCGGTCTAATTCCCCCAGAAATGTGGAAGCAGCCTAGTTGGATTAACGAGACACGCGCCGCTGCTGGGCGCGATAAGCTGGTGGCAGAGGATGTTATCTATGGAGGTGAGCCTTTTCTGCGTAGCGACCAGCCCTGATGTTAACGCCGCATATAGCAAGCGTCTCGTATGTTTTGGCGCCCCGGTTTTGGAATCCCCTCTGACACCAAACGTCTCCTTTGCAGGTACAGAAACATGTGCAGGTTCAACTCCGGAGTCCGTAGACCTTTCTTTCTTATTTTCCGACCGCTCACATTCGTTCTAGTTCTTCTACCGTCATGAGCTTTTGCTCCCCTACCGTTACTACTGGAGGTGAGTTGTCATGCATTTCCAACTCTACGTCCCAGTGCTGAATTCATTTGTTTCAGGATTGAGTAAGGACTTCCCCTATCCGCTTGAATCTCGGCCTGACAAGCTTTCAGACCCGATGTCGACTACTTCTGTGATCTTCAGTATGACCCATTCGCATTCATGGAAGATAACAACAAGACATATGGTGGGCGATTGCTCGTTAGCTTGTCAAGGAGACTATTCTGACCTTTACACAGGATTTACCATGTCGCTAAGAGAGTATGAACTCACGATAGCAACACTATGGGAGTCCGTTCGAGGTCGGTTTCTTGGCCCCCCTGTATCAACAGCTCCTGACCCGACACACGCGCGTAGAATTTATGGACCTCTATCCCCAGTTTATCCATCCAAACAGCGCTATGCGCTTCTTGT